GGCTATGGGCAGCCCCCCAGGCACTCTATTTGCTAACATATTTATGTCCTTCAACGAGAATTCATGGCTTCACAATGATATTTATCTTACCATGTTTTCAATTAACCTATTAGTGGAGGCACTGAGATGAAAAAAACTTTATAATACAGCCTCTGTTGAGAGTTCGTAGATTTGAGTAACGAGAATCTTAAACGTTACCTTTTGGAAAGCATTTGCCTTGATCCATTTGAGTCGCGTGCAAGAAAGATCAAAACTAAAAAATCTGTAATCATAAAATTTATGTATTAAGACGGTACGACAATTGTTCAAAAAGCAAAAAATTGAAAGAGTGCAAAATCTCATTGTGAGGCACGATACCATAAACATGATCTAATCAAATCTGATCACAACAATTAATAATTTTGAGATAACACGCACTAAAAAATATTGGACAGTTGCATGACGTCTCAAAATGATATGTGGAAATTCCGCTTAGTTTAAATTTATTTTATGCTAAGTTTACGACAAAAACCAATTAAATGAAGAATTTCAGATTTTGATTAATTGTTTTAACCAATTAGGAAATTCAAATTCATGATCTCGAATCCTGAGTCACCTGAATTTTTAGGTTCTTAAATTGTCCAGCAAAGTGCGAAGATCGTATCTTCATTTAATTTCAAACACCGCACTGCATAAAACATTCTTTCACAAACAAACCAAGTTAAACCTTGGTTTAGCTCAACCCATGTCGAATGAATTAAACCCAGATCTAACCTGAATCAGTGATGTTCACACACCAAAAACGACAAACATGGGTTCATTTGAACCTGGGGTGAATCCAGATTAATTTATGTCATGTGAATTATGCTCTAGTTTCCATTAACTTATAGTTTGTTATATTTTACTTGTAATGAAAAATGAACTCGTGTATACTTTGTTGAATAATATCCTGATTGGTATTAATGGACAATAAAGAGTAGAAACGTAATGTAGGAAATTTAATAACAACTTCAGCTGCGAAAAAAATACCGTTACACACACAAATATTTGAGAAATTAAGAATAGTATGTTTCCCACATGCAATTAACAAACAATATTCTCGTGCTGCTCCAGATAAAGACGCCTTCTTTAAATAAATTTAAAAGAGTGCAAACTTTTTGGTATATATAGTTTTACAGTATTTCCAATTGATTGTCCAAAAAAAAAGTGGAAAGGTTTGCTACAAAACTGACCTTGATTTTGCATCAGTGATGGTAGATAAAAATTTTTGATTAACAAAAAAGCAACTAAAGAAAAAGTAACTAATTTTGTGAACGTTTTCACGATAAACTCTCTTGCCTGCTCTTACATTTTGGCTTAAAACCATGACCCGTTGTTGCCTTCAGCTTTTTAGTGAGCAATATGCAACAGCGTTTCTTAGGACACTAAACGCACTGTTTCCCCGAGGTGCTGTAAAATAGTTACAAGCATGTTACAAAGTATTCAGAAAGCATTTAGCTACTGCACTTAGTTGATTCAATTTTATAATTTGCGTTCATTACAGTGTACATACAAGCTTTATAGTGATTAGTCCGGAATCGTTAGATTAGAGCAGGGGTCTCCAAACTTTACAGCCAGAGGGCCACATGAACTTTCATCCAGCATGTTGAGGGCCGAAGAATATAAAAAATTTCCACGTCATCCTTCAGCTTTTTAAATATCGCAATGTGCTTGAAACGGATGTAGGAAGTTGGGACAAAAATTGACGTAAGCCACTCTTGCAAGTTGGCTTGCATCATAACGTGAACTTTCTGCACAAAGTTTATTTTGTTTATTTTTTTTTCTTAAGTGCCTCTGCGGGCCGGATTGAGAGGCCCGATGGGCCGCATCTGGCCCGCGGGCCGTAGTTTGGAGACCCCTGGATTAGAGGATCTCAAGATTGAGTTGAATTAGCATTTATCGTGATTTTAAGAAGTTCTAAAAAAATGCATAATGTCACGACTCATTATTGCGACAAATGTGACGTATAGCCATGATTTTTATTTAGCGCCGTAAAACTTTATTTTACAAGGTGAGTTATTATGCAAGTAAAAATTGCATAGTATTGAAAATTGCATTTCTTGTATATATCTATCCCATAAATTACTTTTACAAGCTTTCAAGATTCATTGGGTAAGTCTATATCTACGTCTTTTATGTCGGGCAAAATGGTCCGTCACCCTTCAAAGTTTGTACCCAAATCTCGGCCCTGCCTTCATCTAGGCCATAAAAGTAAAATTTTCTTCCGGTCGATTACATAGCAAATGTTCTTAAATTCTATTTAACTATGTAAACAAGTTATTTCTAGGAACTTTAAGTATATTCTTTTATAGATTGCACATACAAGAATTTTGGACGACACTGTGTATAGTTAGTATTCAAGATCATAACTCATATAAGTAGTCAGAAATTAAAGGACTTTCCAATATATTTTAAACATGTCAAAGTGAAGACCGACAAGTGCCGCTATCATATAATACATGATGCAATAGAGCTAATCTAATGTTTGTGAAAACTGCGTTGCAATTCATGTCTAAGCTATAAAAGATAAGATAAGTGATACGACCATATATTACTCATATCGCAATCATATTGCAAAGAAATTACAATTGTGAAAGAACAAGTCATTTTAAAATATTCGGTATTATTTGACTTCCTGTTTTAGGTTGCTATTGCATGCAAGTGTCTAATGAACAGGTAACTCTGGCCGAGCGACTGTGGCTACCTTTACTTATAAAAAGATGATATTCGCCGACAGTCTTGAACATTTGTTGAAGTTGTGATTGACTTAACATTCACCAAGACTATCAATGCTCTCTTAAACATAGAGCTCCCCTATTCAAACGGCTATTAACATGCAAACGACAAACTTGAACAGTATGTTTATTTAAATGCTGGAAAATCCAGGTAATTTTTCATTTACAGAACTCTCTAACAGTTGTTAGTCGCTTGATCAAATAATTAAAAAAAGAACTGTTCTTTCCGTAATTTTTTCATAAATGAACAAAGCTAACAAAGTTGCTCAGATGATATGAACTCAAAAATAGCCTTGTTATAAGGCTTTTTTATAGGTATAACTTTACTTATGGGTAAAAATGCAAGAAAACTGAAGCCTAGTGAATCGTTTGCAAATGTTTTAGTCGGAAAAGTAAAATCACTTGACCTTTCAAATTTTCGGTGACTTTTAGAAATCTATTGCTAGACGATTAAAAATATAGTATTGGGATTTGAACACATCGAAAGTACAAACTTATGGTGATAGAAAGTCAAATTCATGGTGATAAAATTGAACGTCTGACGCAATGGAATTTTAACATTGTCATTACATATACTGAATAAATTCGCAAATATTTATGGCAAAGCGTACCAGTGTTAAATCATGAAGAGAATACAATACAAATAAAACTTACAACAATTTCAGTGCATGTTCCACTTCTTAAACGTTTTTGCTTCGTCTGATGAGAATCAACTATCAAAACAATACGAATGACCTGTTTTGCATCGCGTATAAATATAATCTTTAGACAATGGAGCATTTCAAAAGATCACAGCAGCAAAAATTCTTTAAAACATTCCATATTTTGTCTTGGGGGAGAAGTGGGGACGGGGGGGAGGTAGAATAAATGAATTTGCGAATGATTTAATTCATATTTTATATCCACATAGAACTTAAAATCTGAAGTTAACGAATACAACGTAGCAATGCAGCAGCTATTATTAAAAACAAAACACAAAATAAATTAACTTCATTTCAACAGATATCACCTCTAAATTTTCTTCATGATTCTTTTCTTGATCTGATTGATTTCTTTCTTCAAAAATTTACCCCTCTCTAACGTTCTCTTTAACGTTTCTTTTAATTCTATCTTCGGCACGCGATGTTCAATCCAGAAATTACGAACGCACGTTCTTTTCTTTCTTCCTCGTTTTTCTCACCATTTTATAAACGCTTTTAATAAAAAAAATCACAGACATTTAATGACTGTAGATAAAATGAAATCAAAAATAGAACCGGCTCAAAGTTTTGATTAGAGCAAGCAACATTAAATTTACTTTACCTTGTTGTGAGAAGCAAATTTTCAAAGCTCTTCTAAAACTTGTGGTTATGAATGCTTTGCGCCAAATAAATACAGGACTTTTGACAAGCCTATTATGAAACGCTGGAGGTGTTTCCACTGTAAATTTCGCATAGGAAATGTGTGCATCGTTTATGTGTAAAAACAATATTCTTTCCAAACATTCTCACAGAAAAACAATGAAGTGAACGACACTTGCCTGTTTCAAAAAATGTCAGAGCTTATCAGCATGCATGCCTAGGAACATAAACTTTACGTCTTTAATTTATTCTTACGTAAATAGTCTTTTGAAATTTCTGTCAAGCCGTACCCCAAGACCCACCATTACACTTCTACATATGGTACCACATGGGACAGTTCATGGACATGGATATGAAATAGCTCAGATTTCACATATAAACAGGTTTTCATATTTTTACAGGGGTAGTGCTAAACATCATAGGTGGTAAAAAAAAGGAAGTGACATAAGACAAAGTAAGGGCTAAATTTCAGGGGCGGTTTGATAGTGAAGCAACCAAAGGTAGTGTAGTAAGCTGAAACAGTGCACAGAAAAACTCAATTCAACTGTACTACTGATGTGTTTTGCTCAAAACTGAGGGAGTTAAAATTTTTGTTTAGAGGTGTGAAAAACCTATCTAGGGGGGGGGGGAGGTGTCGCAAAACTAGTAATCGCATTCATTTCAAAACAATGATATTGTGATATGGACAAACGAACTTCTGCCAAATATTCTTGTTTTTGCTGTCCAGTTAGAAAAGGAAACAACAGAGCACATTTTGCAAAAATGACATGACTCAGGCTTGTAATTTCACCACTAGAAATGGGTTTCACTGGTTTCACACCAATCCATCTCAGTCAAAATATCAAAATATACAGCTTCACGTGTCATAATCACTGGTCATAAAAAACATCTTCTCGTACAATCAATATTAGTTATCTCAAATCTAGAACAATGTATTTCAAGGGACGAAAAAATGCGTGGCTATAAGGTAAACATGTCATTATTAAGCATACAGTTACATAAAGAAAAGATTTATGTCGGGTACTTTTTGGTTGATGATCATTTTTCAATGACTTATTGTGTTTATCTAGTTGCACATTACCGTTACATTTACTGTATTTCGCAATTATATCAATTTTGTTTGGAATTATAACTGGTCAGATAATTCATCTCTAAACTGTAATTATGCTTACACATATTTTTAATTTTGTATATCTTATAAACTATAAATTGGTTTTGATATATACTGAATTAAATGGAATTAATTACCCGCTTCCTGCTTCCATAATACGGATTGTACAATTGAGCTTGGAACATTTGTACCTAAACATTGTTATCTACAGTGAAAATATCATGTATACTTGTAGCATTCACGATAAAAGGTCTTTGAACGTGGCATCCTTGATTTCCTTCAATCCAACTGGGTTTCCATTCAAAATGTTGTCCAGTCTATGCCGTTCATGTCCAAAAGGATGTTTTCTTTTTGTTGCCACACAATAAGCCACCATTCCTGCATTCTATTTTCAAAAAAAGGCACTGTTATAGTATGCTGTTTGATCATACACCAACCCCTATACGATGTACCTGTCGTTGTAATTTCGGCTTTTAGTCTTTTCACACAAAAATAAACAATGAAAACATTATTTTTATGTTCACACATGCAAGTAAACTGAATGCAGTGTTTATTTGCTTCAGAAAATAACAAGCTAAAAGTTAGCTAAATATGATAGCGGTATTTTGCAATAGAAAAAAAGACAACATAAATGTCACATGTTATTCACATGATAGGTTGACTGTCTCACAGTCAAGTATGTTGTTAAAAAATAGGTACGCATTGCGTACATGTGGTAAAATAATAAACACAGTACATTTTACATTAAATATGATTGACACCAAATACGTTTGAGATTTAAAAAATTTGTGCTTTGTGCTCATTGATCACTCAAATGACCCAGTAGCTTTCTAACCTATTCTGCATTTACCAAACGCACCTTACTTAGATCGCATGTCACGTGACTATACTCACAGTAAGAAAAGTGAAATCTCCAAGATTTCTTAGAAATTTTGATGATTAATTTAATATAATTTTCACCAAAGACCAATTTCACTATAAATACTCGTCAATAACTGTTTTAAAACACTTTTCTGACGCGAATATCTTCCACACAACCGATAATTCAAAACCATTACGACTTTTTTGTTTCACACATATATATGATAGCCATATTTCCGACGATACAGTGACGATTGTAATTAGTAAGCAATGTTTAATATTTGAAAGCTAGTTAGAAAGCTTTGCACATTTCCAAGTGATCGTAAGTACTTAAAATGTATTTCCTGCTGACACTTTCAATTACTTTGACTACTGACACGTATCATATTACATAAGTTTCATTGTCAATCTATGTTATATAAATCCTACACAAATAATAGTTGTAACTCTTAAAATAGTCAAAAGCAAAATAAATGTCTTTGTGGCTTTCATTCAACTGATTAACTCGCCAACAGACAAGGGTGATCTGCGAACCAAAGAGTTTACAAGCAAGGCTAATAAGTACAGAACCGGACTATAATTATGAAAAGTTATGATCGCCAACCAAGCCTGCATTTGTATATTATAAATCATTTGCTAAATTTATGAATCGATTTCATGTTTCACTCCGTATGAATGGATCACTAAAGGTCGTACATGTGTATGTTTTATAATATTAGGGCCGCGTTGTTTTCTGATTAGCTAATATGCCTTCAACAATTTTTTGTCGATTGCAAATAACTTTTGTTTCATCGTTTGAACGAGGATAAACGTTTTACATAATGTAAATATTTCGATGTATTTAATACACATTGAAAAGTATTATGCGTTCAGATTCATTGTCACAATGATAACTATACTACTCAGTTTCATCAACAATAAATAATTGCCGTAAATTCTCGATCACAATGCACTAATGAGCAATCGAGATACCAAATATAACCAAAATATAAGTACAGTTATTCTCAACGAGTTATTCTCAACAAGTTTTCCAACGTTAATCGACACATATGATAGCAAATTTTTAACGAGAAATTAGCTATAAAACCAAATTTTATACAGTAACAATTTTGGGAAAAGTTGTTGGTTTAAAGTTACAACTTAAATATAATATACACATTGTCAAATAAATGTGTCTAGTGAAAATTCACAATCATAAATTACCATTTATCATTTGCTGAGAATCACGGTCTGAAAAGCTAGGGTCTTTAACTCTAACCTTCTAAAGTATCCGAGTCTTTGACATCGCTTTCTGAAAAGCTCGGGTCTATAACCAGACTATCGAAGAAGTCATTTTTTTCATCCATGGAGTGGCAAAAGAAGTCAAAACCAAAAAATCTGCAATCATCAAAAAACTATTTGTAAGTGCAGTACGATAAATATCATTTACGCTGAATTTGAATAAAATGAAAGTTAAAACAGAGCGAAATTTTTACATAAAATGTCACAGTTACCACATGGTTTAAACAGTTCTAAAACAATAAACTGTACAATGTACATTTCAATAAAATTCTTGGATAATTATACTTTAGGTGTTATTTAGACCAAATATATGTGAAGACTCTCTTAAAACTCAAATGAAGTTTCATCTCTACAGCAACATATCCCTTTGATTTTAAACAAATTAAATGCGTTGCACTTAAACAATTAAAAAAATCATAATTGCACAGTGTTAATTGTGATGCATGGTTCTTTAGTCAGATAGATATGAATGACATCACTGAACTGTGTATATATTTGCTATAATTGTGACTAGTTAAAATTCCCCCAAACTGGGAATATTGTATGAAACACAAACCAGAGTTAAACTCATTCTCCCTCGCAAGTGATCATTGACATGCAAACGTCAAACTAGATGCACTGTATTAAATTAAATGCTGATGAATCCAGACAATTTCTGTTTAATCGTCTAAAAATTTGCAGTCGTCAAACAATCGAAGACGAAGTAAATTTTTCATACAAATGATTAGAACAGCGTCTACTTCTGCCGACATACATAATTCATAACATTTTGTAATGAAGAAGAGTTAAGGTATAACACACGTTGTGAAAGTTTCTGAAATGATAAAAGTCAAGATCCCATACATCTGTAATTTTACTTCTTGGCAGAAAAACGCAGCAAAAAACATTACAATTCAATGGAATTGTTTTAGTTTTAATAGTCTGCATCACTCAAATATTTTGTTCAATGATATGTAGAAAATCTTTCCTTATAACAACAAAATCTGACAATTTTGATAAGGAGAAATAAATAACATGAACAAAGTCTTCACAGTTAAATTTAACGTGTGACGCAATATAATTTTTTCTTGTTATACGTACGTAATGAAAGAATTCACAAATCCCAGTTTATTATAAACGTGGCAGTCTTTTATTATGTGAAGAACACAATACAGCTAAATCTAGAAAACTTACAGACAATTCCCCTGTCTGTAATGAGTATTCCGAAAACACTGACTTCAATACCGTTCTCTTTCAGATTAGAACCATCAATCGTTATACTTTGTTATACATGTCGTCATACAAAAATGTTATTATAAAAATGCAAGAATTTCAAAACAACACAGCATGAAACACATACTACATGTTCTTTAGGAAGAGAAGGGTAGTGATTGGATAATTCTTAAAATTTCTTAATGAAATGTCATATGTGTATGTATTTAAAAAAAGATTTCAGTAACATACACATTAAGCAACAGTGATCTTCTTGTGTGTCATGTGTGAACCAGAAACTTCATAAGGTCCACATAGCCAAGTAACACTAAAAAACAGCACAAAAGTAAAATCGTTTTTTCATTTAATCTTACTGTCTATAGCACATCAATGATTATAATCTGGGATGAATAGAAACTTGCTCAGGAATTGAGCAAGACTGAAAGCTTGGTTGTGCAGTGTAAATGTTTTCAAACTTAAAGCTAAAATACATTTCAGAGACATACACATTTAAGAACGTGACCTTCTTGTTTGAGCAAGCAACTCCATATGGTGCACATGGCCAAATAACACTAAACAGCATAAAAATAAAATCTTAATTTCTATTTAGCTTTACTGTCTAGAGCATGTCAGTGATTATAATATACAATAAATAGAAATTGGCTCAGTGGCATAAAAGGATTGACAGTTTGATTGTGCAGTAAAAACAACAGATTTCTATAAACAGAAACAATGCTAAACTGACCAAACTGGCAGGCTGGTTATAACAAACATGCTGTAACCTTTAATGGTAGTAAGTAAACAAATACAAATCTATCTTGGTGACAGTTTTCAAAAGCACAAAGTAAAACTTGCTTGAAACAAAAGAAACACTTTAACTTTTGTAAAGCTATCCGCAATCCAAAATCCAGCTCTACCATAATGTATGATTATACACGTATACATCCCAAGTGCAGGAGTCACAATTGTACTGGGGTGATAGCTGGGAGAGCACATTATTAATAACACATTGTATATAACCATACTATTCTATATTCATACATCAGTTCATTTGTACACCTTTAAAAAATGCCATCAAATGTTACAAGCAACTTACAAATGATCAACAATCATTCTTTGAAATGGGAATTTTATAGAACACAAAAAGAGATGTACAAAAATTTACAGAAGAAGAAATTCAATCACTAACAAGGTTGGAAGTAGAAAAAAACGTTTTCGCTTCATCATTATTAATAATCATGAAAGTGCAGTGCTCACCATATGAAGATGATAAGATGGCGAAATTATTTTGATCTACAACTAAGAATGCCTAAGGTATGCCTTTTGTTAGTGATAACACTTCTTTGAAAAGTCAATCAAAACTGGCAATCAATCTTGTTCAAAGAGGCATGCAGTTGGTTCATAAGAAACATTCATACAATATTAATTAATCAGAACTCAATAAAGACACAAACCTTCATTTTCCTCAACAGCAACAAAAACGAGATCATGTATATACTGGTGAGACAATAACTAAATCCTGTTGCAATTACAGGAGGAGGAATGTCTTCAAGAGTATTGACCTGAAAGTAAAGCAAATATTAGATTTAAACAAAAGGCATATTTCTTGTTAGACACACAAGTTTCAAGTTCTTAATAAGTAAATCACCAAATTTCTTTGCAATTTGCACACAAATCCACTAACCTTATCTTGAGTTTCAAGGAAATAATCACGAACAAAGCATCCTAACACTTCTTCAATTTTTTTTACCAACAAACATCATTGAAATACAAGAAAGAGATCCTATGACCAACAGTAATATATGACATCTAAGCCTTTTGTAAAATTTTGATGCCAATTTTTAACGTCACGATTTTCATGTCATTTTCATTTTGTATGTGTTTGGTGCATAGTTTGGAGTTAGTGTGAATCATGTCACGTGATTGATAATTATTTTCACCCCTGAATGGTTGATTTTGAACAAACTATAAATCATTGTTAAATCCACTTATAATAAAATTTATAAAAAAGTAGGATTATAAAATGTGCGTATATTTATCTTACGAAGTGGCAAAAATATAAAAAATATTACATATTTACATTGGGATTCAGGGTAGTGGTGTTTCCATTTAAAAATAGTTAACGTTCCTATATCTAAATCTAAACAAATCTAAACTTAAGTTAACTGCTCCCGAGGCCACATAAACGTACACGTAATGGTAAAAGACTGACAAGAAAATGCTCTGCAAGGCTTAATAAATTGCTGTCTGATCATTAGATATTCATGATCATTAAAAACCTTGGAAACATGATCCAGAAGTGACAATTTTAAGGTTTTAGCCACCATTGTGTTCTGTATTCAGGATTATAAAAGCAGAATCAGAATTTTACTGCAATATCGGACAGTTTTTACATGTTGCAATACACAGGAAACTCAAAACGTCTTCTCAGTTGCTTATTAAAAGCTTAGGAGTAAAAAATGGCTAAAAACGGCTTTTCTTTCTCGTTTCTGCCTACGTCTAAACAGGAATATCAAAATTACAATGGAATGGCTTGTTTTGCACTTTGTCATACATGAATATAATTTTATATAAAAATTTCAAAAGATCTTTTCAAGAAATAGATTTGTAAGAAAGTTGGTGTACTATTTAGGGTTTATTAGAAGAGAGAAATTTGATCCAGAATAATTTGCGTACTCAAGCCTTTGATCTTAAATCTAAAGCAAATGAGCAAAGAAATTAAAATTGTCAGTTGTTACATCATAAACATGTAATGCTAATTTATCAGATATGTGGTCATATAAGAGAGTAGTTTATGATGTGACATCATGCTTTGTGACGTGTTTTAGCTGTTTCCTTACGGGAAGACATGTTCATTGATTGTAAACTTTATCTACGAAGTGGCATCTCAACGAGGGTAAAACCCCCATTTCCAAGTGCAACCATTTTATTGGGGAAAATTTAGCGTCCTACATAAACATATATTTCTCATGTTTTTCCCTAAAATCAACCGCTCGTTTGTAGTGCACTACAAACAATGGTAGAAAAGAAATGTTTTGATTTTTTTAACCATGACAACGTGTGAAGCCCTTTTATTTGAAAAGTCTTTCTCACAATTGGTGTGAAGACATCAATTTGAAATGTTTACAAATTTAAAAATAGAAAAGAGCTTAGAGAAGATAGTTGTAATGTTTCTTCGTTATTTCCTCAATTACATTATCATCAAGTTCATGTTTTGCTTTGTTTCAATTTGTCATTTGACCTGAGAAAAACACTCCTTTGGCTTGCCAATCTTATAAAATAGTTCTTGTAGTGGTCTTGTCCTTGGTCAATCATATCGGTGAAGACCAATGTTGATTTTAATTGTTATACTCCTTCATCCTTAAATCTAATTACCAAAATTATAACCATGCCAAAAGCTGCAGAGAGTTTATTACAAATGATGTTACATAATGCATTACTTAATGATGTAGAGTGTTTTTATTTTACATCTATAAAAACATTCCTCAAACATAAATTGCGGTATGTAAAATGTTTATATATTGATTGGTGTTATTTCAATTGAAAAGGTTTTGAGTTCTGGTTTGTTTTTCCATTCATTATTTGATCTGACAGCCGCATGCACCAAAACAGGAAGATTTGGAAATGTTTCAAGAAAGTACTCCTTTGGATCGCCAATCTTTTCAAGTGGTTCAGGTTGTGGTGTTGGCCGTGGTTTATCGTACCAATGCAGGCCAACATTTCGAATAAATCTTAAGCAATCTGTCCATGAAGGCCCATACATAACAATCTTTCCACTCACCTTATCAGTACAAAATAATTATAGGCCTCATGATGTATTCGACTTTTCCAATCGGAGGGTTCACTATTTAATTGTTGAACGACACTTGAATTGACATCATTTATTTTAATCGGTCGTTGGTTCCCAACTTTACATAACATTTCAAATTTTTCGTCATCCGACATAAGAAAAGGATGTTTCAATGCTTCGTTGGCTAATGGTCTGTCTTCTGGTTTTAGCTGTAGCATCCACGATAAAAGGTCTTTGAACGTGGCATCCTTGATTTCGTCCAATCCAACTGGGTTTCCTTTCAAAATGTTGTCTAGTCTATATTGTTCAGATTCCAAAGGATGTTTCCCTTTGTTGCAACATAATAAGCCACCATTCCGGCATTCTATTTTCAATGAAAAATGGAGTTCATTTATTTGTTAGTTGCAAAAAACACAAGTTCAGTTCGAAAAAAATTAGAATAATGTTCTCTAATTAAAAATCGTAGCCATAAATTTTTTAGAGAAATCTAAATGAGAGACATACAATCGTAAAACCAATAAGGCAATAACAACAATCAATTGATTATCATACATATTCATATTTTTTTATTTTATACAGTGCAATTTGTATTTCGCCACTATATGACTGTACAATGGAGGTAAACAAAAATTTTATTTAAAATCATCATCACTACCAAATACAACATTCAAATGCAAACACAACATTGAGCTGTAGTTGGACCTCTAGTTCTACTTCAAGAACTTACCATAATGTCAGACTGTTTTTTGTAACGAACTTTATCAATTGATTCATCTGATGCGTCATATGACTCTGGAGCTATCCAATTTTTAGCTCCTCTTTGTATGCTCCGATGTGTCGAAGTTTCATCAGATAACATATGACTTATACCAAAGTCAGCGATTAAAAAATTTCCTTGTACATCTCGAAGAACGTTTGAGGTCTTAAATCCCGATGAAGAATAGGATGCTCACCGCTGTGAAGGTGAACTAGACCATTTAAAATCTGCTTAAGAATTGTAGGAACGACTTTTGAAGATCTTGCAAAGAAGATGATTTCACATAACTCTCTAACGATTCTTCACACAAATCTAATATCAAATACAAAAATAAGATTCAATAATTCAAACATTTTGAAATTTCATTCATTATTTGAGTAACACTGTTCCATCACTTCCTTTCCAAGGGTAAACACGAGTTCCATCACTTCCTTACCAAGCAAAACTCCAATTCACTGACAATTTAACTTTTCTGGATTTTGCGTCCATATTCTTCCATCATTTTGAACTTTTCCTGATGCATTATTGATTTATCAAACATTTCCATGGTTGAGACAACAATTCTTCAATTGAAAAGTAAAGTAGACTATTTAGAAAGGAATAAATCAATGTATCAAGAAGCAATTTAATTTTCTAATTATACGCACATCAAGAAAATGTGGCTATTAGACAAGATTTGAAATACCTACACCGCTTTACCCGTTAAGGTGAACTGACTTTTATATTTAGCTACTAAATAATAACATAAAAACATAACAACATGTTTGCCTTTGTTTCAGTTTTTTGTATTAGCAGCGTATTTCCCTGCTCCCAAACACACGAATGAGAGTTCAAAGGACGTTGAGGGACGTTTAGAATGAATGTTCCTCATAAAAGTAATCAACACCTTGTTTCCACACTTAATTTACTCTCGTTAACTTTAGAAATTGCGTCAGCTCGCTTTTGATTTTCCACTGCTAAATAATTTTCAATTCTTGTGAATGGAAAAGTTGATGTCAGGATCTTTTCACTTTAAATGCGAAAACATTGAGATTGAAAAATCAATGATGAAAGCATCTGTCGAGTTGAAAAGAGTTCGGAGAATTAAAGAATCTAATGTTCTTAAGGTTACCTTCTGAGTTTTTGACCAGACTTTCTGAGAAGTTGTGGCTTGGATCCATTTGAATGGCAAAATGGTTAGAACTAAAAAATCCGTACCAATAAAAATTTACTAATCAAAGATGGTACGATAATTGTATGCGATGTTTTAAAAGCTACATCATGAAACAGTCATTATATTGACCACGTGTTTAATGTATACATGGCTCATTAAAATATACAATTTGAAATATTATACATCGCTTCTGTCTTTGATGCAAAAAGCTTTATAGTAATGTTCAGTCTTTAATTCAGAAAGAAATAATCTCATTAATGAAAAGTGCCATAAATAAATTCAAGAAAAAAACTTGCGGTAGTTCTATTAAATTATTGGTTGAACTGCGTGTGTGGAAGTCATTGAAATGAACTTCTTTAAAGATGTGTGTGGAATGCATATACAAAATTTTGTACTGTACGATGTAGTCAGCGCTGCACATGATCAAACGTGGTAGCTAAGAAATACAAAGGTATACTTTTGAACATGTTTTGAACATGTCAAAATGAAAACATCTTATATTGAAACAGTATAAAATAATTTTTGACCAATAACGAAGCATCATAAAAATAATTAAATTTAGTGTATCTTAATCTTTTAGGCTTTGACAATTTTATTTTTTTGTTTTTGTTTTCATTTTATTAAAAGCCTGTTTCGGATTTCCTTTTATAAAAACAAGATAAATTTCGAAAAAAATTTTTTATCAAAGCGCTTGGACATTTAATCATCATAATGATTTTTAATGTCATCATTATGACAGAAAGAAAAGCAACTTGTTTTTGCTTGGATAAGAAAATAATAATTTCTAAAAAATTAAATTTAAGATGTTAGATACAGGTATTAGCAATAACGATTAAATTTCAGCAAATTAAAGACAGGCTAAGCTTTTGAAAACTGCATTGCAATCTACTTATCTATATTTAATAACACTTGAGATACTTGATTACAACATATGTATTATTCATATCGTATTCATATTGCAAACAAATTCGAGTGTGAGAGAACACGTCATTTTAATATTGTCATCATTCTTCAACTTTCCCTTTTGTGTTTGCTTAGCATGGTGCATTTAATGAACCGGTAACTTTGAATGTTTTCAATTTCAAAGATAAGTTATGCGAAATTTTTATCGGCAATCTTTCAGTAATATTTATTTCAGTTATGATGTACTTAACATTTACAGTTTTTTCCCTCTGAAACGTTAAACAGACAAAAAATGCAAACGATAAACTTGAATATCGTATTTATTGAAATACTGCATAGTAATCCATGCAATTTCAGTTTTACAGAGTTTTCAAGCGATTACCAGTTTCAAACCAAATCATCATGAAGTACCAACGGAAATTTGTCAAGATCTAAATGATAAGCTGATGAAAATGGTTTAAACAACGCCAACAACAATCTTCCTATGAATTTTGTTTTTTATTTAAAAATTTGCTTGCGTGTTCTTTCCGGCCTACGTAGTTCAAACCTCTTGACTCATGACTCATGAACAAAATAAATATTTGATATACACGCTAACAAAGTTGCCCAAATAACAAAACTTTAAAATAGTCTTGTTGTAACGCTATTTTATAAGAATAACGATATATTAGTGAGTATAATCGAACACCCCAGCCCAATGGTATGGAATTGTTCTAGTACTTGCTGTCTGACTGAGTTTTTTCTAATTTTTAAGCTAATTGTAAAAATCTATACCTTTAAAAATATAATCTTAGACATGGAGAATTAAAAAGAGACTAAAACTACATATAAATTCAAACTTGTGGCCTTTAAGTCATGTCTGACGCAATGGAATTTTAACATTGTCATTACATGTACTGAAAGAATTCGCAAATTTTTATGGCAAAGCGTACCAGTGTTAAATCATAAAGAGAATACGATACAAATAAAACTTACAATAATTTCAGTGCATGTTCCACTACTTAAAGTTTTTGCTTCGTCTGATGAGAATCAACTATCAAAATAATACGTATGACTTGTTTTGCATCGCGTATGTAAATAATCTTTTAACAATGGAAGCATTTCCAAAGATCACAGCAGGAAAAACTATACTTTCCCTTAGGGAGGGGGTGGGTGGAGAGAAAATAAAATTTGTGAATATTGAATTTGGAAATGTTTTATTTAAATTTTATATGCGCATGCAATTGAGCATGTTTTCTATCGTAAAGATAAAATTTGTTTTTACGGATTATAAAATTAATGTATATGAATATGCCCCCAATTATTGTTCTGGCTACGTGCATGATCCTGTGCCAATAAATAATGTACAAGTTTTACCAATCGTAACACGAGTAGTGCATGTGCATAAAAAGACGTATAAGTTACTAAGAGAATTTACTCAAAAGAGTGTCAATAAAGAAGTGTAAATAAGAAAATTAGTGAATTATTGTAGGCGGATTGTAAAGAAAATATAAAGTCAAATTGGGTCTACAGCAGCTTGCTAGTGGCATTTGCTCCGTACGTTTCAGTTACTACCAGTTTTTGTTCATCCGAAGAATGTGAAAATGGAGTAGCCATTGTGGCATGTGGGTGATTAATCTGACTAGCGTTCTTGACATGAAAATGGCTGTTTACTCGCATGTTTTCTTGTGCGTGTTAAATTAACTAAATTCAAATTCTAATTATAGTCCAGTTGCCAAATGCCACTTTAAGACAGAACGTTGCTGTGAAGGACCCCAAGCAGGTTTTTGCACTTTTTGTATCTTTACAAAATATAAAATTCAAAATTTTAAGAGTGTCAACTTGGCACCCTTGGTGAAAATCTAATTACGAGCTCATATATTGGCTGACACATTCTATTTCTAGATTTCAGCCATCCAAACTGTCTCACTTCTGCTTTTTAGCATATGTTTAAATAAATTATGAAAATAAAACATACTGATACAGGCATGCTATGTTGTAGAAATGTAGATACAAAATGAGTTACAAAGATTTTATAAAACAAAGAGGTTAGGAATCTAAAATTTTATTATTTGGCTGTTATTGAACATTTCCACTGACTGAATAAAAACTGCTGGGAACGAGAGATTGTCGGGTTTTGTGCTTATTTTTACAAAGGCCATATGAACATTTTCTAAATTACTGTAATTTAACCCGATTACAAAAACATATTTTAATACTGCTTAAATGTACTCTTTCAGACATACCTGTTTTTATGACTTCTTTTTACATTTATTTCCTGATCTTTCACCGTATTTTAAAAATAAGGTCATTGTTTTTGACAAGAACAGTCATATCCAGATTTTTAAAGTACAATGATATCTTATGACTCATATATGATGTAAAGACACACGAATCGTAATGGAACATTTATGGAATATTTTTGATTCTTTCCAAGACGCACAGCTTCATCTATCTTGACAAATTCTAGAGCATTTTTGCCAGTTACGATATTAAATAAACTCTTACAATGGCTTTCTGGATTTAGTGGATCAACACATAATTGCAGCTTTTCCCTCAATTTCTGTCGATTTTTTGCATCCGAAAATATACGTGCTGGCATTTCTTCGTTATGGGTAGCTACATCGTTTGATGATGCCTCTTCATCTTTCATTGCAGAAGCACATTTAATCAGATGGCTGCAATATGAAGACTGAATGCCCAACGAGATATTGCTGATGAGTTTAAAGTTTTACCAATTTAGCCGCCTGGCCCATTACAATAACCCATAAACAATGTTTCGATAAACATATCCGACCAAACTCATTCCATAAACCAGGCTTATGGCGTATTACATGCTTCCCTTTCATAAATCTATCTCTAAGTTCTGCCGGGAGACGCTCCATTGAGCGCAAGTTATATAAACCATATCTTGCGTAGTTGAAATGCCCACCCGCAAAAAATTGGGCATCATAGCCTCTACTGCTCCAAGATATAAAGGCCAGTCACCCTCTTTCTCTGCCCGAACAAACATCATCATGATGAGCACTGGTTTAATGAAACTTTCTACCAAAATTTTGGTTGTCCTACTTTTCTCAGCCTTTTCTTCCATTACCAATGTCAAGTGCTCAAAGCACTAGATATCTTTAATAACATTTCGTAAAATTTCCTTAGCAAGCATTCGCAGAGTCCGGACATTCTGAGGAAATCGTTTACCAGAAAGCTTACGGTTAACACCTGCAAAAGCCGCTTGAAGGATCTCTTTAAAACCCATATCAGACATAAGTGATCCAGAGCATCCAACAAAACTCACGAACATATGCATTCCTCAATGTCTCGGATGAATTTCTTGAACATATGCGGATACGCCAAAAGGATGTTTACCATTACTCGATATAGTTGTTGATCAGAAGTAAAGCTGTGTAATCCTGGCCAGATTTTGGGTCTGAGGTAAGTGAATGCCATCGACTATGGTGACGGGGATCCTTTCGCATAAAACATTTTTCACCGCTAAAAACACAGTCTTCCTGGAAAAAAAACGTTGTTCTTGAATTTGACTGTCGTGTACGTTTTACAACAAACGAGCAAGCTGTAGCATCAGTTTTTTCTTGACTCACGCTTTGAATCTTTAAATGACGCTATATATAGGTCAGTGACAGTGGCGTGCGGTCATGCAAACGTAGGCAAGCGCCGCTTGCCTAAGCATTTTACCGAACAAAAATTTTTTGGATCAATCTCTGAGCAAAATCAGTTTAAATTTTTCTGTTCTAAACAATGTCAATGTAATCTTTTGTCTAAATTGTCTTTACAGTTGAAATGCTTGCTATTTATACGCGATTTACTGTCGTGGTTTTCTGTTTCACTTTGCTACACTTGTAAGATGAGTCAAGTGGATTAAATACAAATTAAAAATTCCTTATTCATTAACCAAGGCAAGCGCGCTTGCCTTCGGAGCTCAATTTGAACATTTGCGCATGCGTTAATCTAGATTTGGAGGCTTCTTATTCGAGGAATATCGAGAAAAGGCAAGCGGCGCTTCTAAGGGCGCCGCTTGATAGCGATTGGTCAACAGTCTTGTACGCTCGCAATTTTAAACACATTTCAGCACACGAATAATATTCGTATATTCAACACATTGGACATCCGAATTATTCACGCCGTTAATGTTATCGTTTATTAAAAGATGACTGAGAGCGAAAGGTAATCTTCTAATTTCTAATTCAAAGTAGTAGGTGCTTTACTGGTTATTTTATTATTTTCTGCGCACAATGTGCGTAAACAAGCAGGGGCCGCAGTCTGCAGAGATATCGAAATGCACGCAAACGTGTGTTGTGGTAAAGTATGACTAGCATTATGACCAAAACACTATGCTCTTGTCAGTCTTGTGTCGTTGAATTCGTAAATTAATGACTAAAAATAAAAGGTACAAGATACTAAATAATAAACACGACTCTCCGATATTCTGAAACGTACGAGTCAGTACCAGACACATTTTGAAGAACGGGAGAACACGTTGCCATGCGACTAGCTTTCATACTGAAAACATTTACGAAAAAATAAAAACCGTTCAGGTACAAAACGATGTTTTCCATTTGTTTCAACGTAAGAAGCTACTATTCGTGCATTCCAAAATCAATAAAAAACATCATAACAGTTACAAGGTTAGTGGCGGTGGATACTGAAACGTCAAAAATTGACTTTATTTGTTATTTGCAGAGTTCAACTACATTTAAATGTCTACAACAAACACTTATCATAACATCAGACTGTTTCTTGTAGCAAGATACATTGATGATTGGATGCTGGATAGATCATATGACTGGAGTTACCCAATTTTTAACTCCTCGCTGTATTCTGCGATGAGGTAAATCTCCAACGCTCAAAAACCTAAATATTTTTGAGTAGCAGCCACATACAATTTTAATTCATTTAACAACATGAATGTCATGTATTGCGAGGGATACGTTGCCACTACATGACTGTACATTCGAATTAGTAATATTTTCAGTCCCATTATAAATATTTTAAGTAATCATATCCATTTGCGGAGATTAAAATTTTTCACAGTATATATTACATAATTAATTATAAGACTTCAGTATCGAGTGAGAAAGTGTTTAAATAAAAAGTCATTAAATTTAAAAGCGAGACAATAAAACTTATGAGTAGATAGTGTAAACAAATCCTGAACAATTGCACGACGTTCTTCATTATTCTTGTGATCAGATTTAGTTTTCCAGTGACCTAATGACTTTGTGCACCAGAAGAAGAAGTTCAGGAAAACGTTGCAGGAAATACTTTTTATAATTGCCTTGATTCACATGTTGTGATAGATGCGGACGAGGCTTATTTTGCCAATGTTGGTCAACGTTTCGCATAAATCTTAAGCATCCTGCCCATGTAGACTCGTACTTTAGAGTTCTTATACTGTCGTTTACTTCAAAGTTGATCAAATCTTTGACGACTTCATCATCGATACGCTTCATCCATTCTGTGGAGCCATGCAACTGCTTATGAACATCTGAAGTGGGAGAATTTTGACTTTGTGAATGTTTCACCTCCAGTTGGTTCCCCATATCACACAGCATGTTAAATTTCTCTTCATCTGATTGTAGATAAGGGTGTTTTAACGCCTCATTGGCAGATGGCCTGTCTTCAGGTTTTAACTGTAGCATCCACGATAAAAGGTCTTTAAACGTGGCATCCTTGATTTCGTTCAAGCCAACTGGGTTTCCTTTCAAAATGTTGTCCAGTCTATGCCGTTCAATTCCAAAGGATGTTTTCCCTTTGTTGCAACATAATAAGCCACCATTCCGGCATTCTATTTTCAAAAAATTGTCATAAACAGTCAGTGGTGGATACTAAAACCTTAAAGATTAAATTTATTTGCGATTTGCAGAACTCAACAATAAATGTGAAGCTTAAAAAAATCTAAAAAATGTTCTCTAAATAGAATTGGAGCCATATATATGTATTAAAAGCAATCTAAATAAGGAACATACAATTGTAACAGTAACACGATTAACAAAAATTAATTTATTTTTATTTAAATAATTGTCACTACAAAATAGAATTATTTAAATAAATGCAAATAAAACATTGAGCTGTAGTTGGACCTCTAGTTCTACTTCAAGAACTTACCATAATGTCAGACTCCTTTTTGTAACGAGCTTTATTAATTGTATCATCTGATACGTTATATGACTCTGGAGCTATCCAATTTTTAGCTCCTCTCTGTATGCTTTGATGTGTCAAAGTTTCATTAGATAACATATGACTTATTCCAAAGTCAGCAATTAAAAAATTTCCTTGTACATCTCGAAGAACGTTTGTTGGTCTTAAATCCCTATGAAGAATAGGACACGGACCACTGTGAAGATCAGCTAAACCTTTAAAATCTGCATAAGAATTGTAGGAACGACTTTTTGAAGATCTTGCAGAGAAGAAGATTTCACATAACTCTCTAACGATTCTTCACACAAATCTAATATCATGTACAAATACTCTTCGTCAAAGTTCTCTTCTAAATGGCAAAATTCACAACATAATTTGAACGCTTTGCATTCAACTCATTAAAAATTTCTTTTTCTCGATTTGCAAAGTCTTTGCCGCTATCTTTGTGTATTCGCTTTACTGCTTTTCCATAACCATTGTTTCCCAGGGCAAGGTAAACACGGGTTCCATCACTTCCCTTGCCAAGCAAAAACTCCTTCATGAAAATTACACGCAATTCACTGAGCAGTGTAACTTTTTCTGGATGTTTCCGTCCATATTCCTCCATCCTTTTAAACTTTTTTTGATGTATTATTGATTTATCAAAACATTTCCATGGTTGGCGCAAAAATTCTTGATCTTAAAGGAGAAGTACATATCAGGAAAGATTAAAGGACTGATAAATTCATGCCATAAATTCATCAATTCACATTTTTATTTGTTTTGGCAATATCACATGACATATAACATTGCTGTGTTTTTTTTCTGGATAAGAAAAGACGGATGTTTTTACTTTGATTTGTAAATAACAATTACTCCGGTAGAAATGAGTTGGTCATCATACAATTCACGCGCAATAATCGACGTTCCACGATTAGTTCATTGCATGACTATACCAACCTTTAACTCAATAAAGCCAGTGGCGGATCTAGGGTACGTCAAAATAAATTGATGCAGCTCATGCTTGGATATGTTTCCATTTCCAAATATATAGAGGCAAGTCCATTGATAAAGTTTAATTTTTTTGAAATTCAAATTCAATAGTTTTGGTTTGAATATATTTTGAATTTAAAATTGAGCATCTATAATTTATTTTGACAAACGCTAGATCTGCTACATTAGATTGAGCAATTCTGCAAAGGATAAAACACACATCCTTTTCACATTAACATAAAACATGAAATTTAGTATCGGAATGTCCTGACAAAAAATCCTCTTAAAATAAATTAAATTTACTCAATGATCTCTACAAATGTTTACAAAGCAATGCTCCCTTCAATAACTGACTTTGTTTTAACTGAGAACAATAAGAAATAGTTAAAATGGTTGCTTACGACATGCTGCACTTTACGTTCAGATAAGGACATTTTACGGACATGCATGCAATGAAAAGAATTTTTCATTCCTAAGTAATAGTCATTAAAAATTTACAAAGCATTTTCCAACTCAAGCAATTGAGAGTAGTAAAAAAAATTAATCATAATCCTTTACGAAACTGAAAATAATTCGTTATACCAACCTTCCAAACGTTGTTTTCCCTCTTCTGCATAATGAAAAATAAATAATAAAATAATATTAAAATATTATATAGTTATAGTGACAAGCAACTAGAGCATTTTTTGTTTCATTTATAACACAACTAAACAATTTAATGGGCTCTCTATCATGAACTGTGAACAACGTTAATGTATGGGCTTCTTTTAAGATTTGGTCGCAACATAATACCACACCGACTATAAATATAAGAAAATATGAAAATTACAGACCCACAAATTACAATTTTCCATTATAAAAAGTATTTTTAACTGGTTTTCCCCTTCAACAATGACATGTTTGTTTCTCTATTCATTACGAGGAAAATAACCATGGCTCAAGATATTGGTCGTCACATGAGTAATGATGTCATATGTGCAAACAAATGAAAGTATTTTTATATATAGCTATCATTATATTTTTAAGGTTATTGTAGACAAGCATATAGTTTGTACAATCAATTTTGAAAACAGCAATTTTATTATCGTCGTGTGCAAGCGCAATAGAAAAAAATTATTTTAGTTGCAACACAGTGGAGGTCGAGAACGCTTTGATTTATTAAGAATGTTGCAGGTTTATAAACACGGGTATATAAAAAATCATTCACAAAGGCATCCTTCTTCCACACTCTTTTCTGCATTAAGATAACCATCATTAATCCCTAGCACAAAGTTTATATTTATGTTTTGCATTCGATTCACAGTTGAGTATCTCACCGTCGTAAAATGGTGACAGTATAGGAATGAGTAAACCTTTTAAAATTTATTTTTTTGCACCATTATAACGGAAGTAGTTAAAAATAGCAGTCTGTCAAAACGCTGACATTTTGAAAACAACGCTTGTTATTTTTTAAACGACTCAAACCAATATCTAAATCACAAAGAGCATTTTCATAAAGAACACTTTTTGGCATGCATTTTAATTTTTTCCTGTCCACATCGGCTTAGCATACTTTTAACGACCTTATGCAAATATTCTAGTGTAACGATCTTATGTAAATATGCAGTAAAGTCCCTTTAAATGCGGAAACATTGAGATTGAAAAATCAAAGATGAAAGCATCTGTCGAGGTGAAAAGAGTTCGGAGAATTAAAGAACCAAATGTTTTTAGGGTTACCTTCTGAAAAGCTTGTGTTCATCCAAAAATGTTCATCCAAATTATCATCTGCATCTAAACACACGATAAAAAAAATAAAAGTGTATATCACATGTTACACTACCCAGCTTTTTGTAAAATATGAATCAAAAGTCGGTCCACAAACGGAAAAAAGATTAAAAATGTCGGTCTGAGTAAAATTTTGGGATATTTGATCCAATAAAGCCACAATAAAGTTGGTCCCATGACGTAGAACACTCCCCCTTAAACCTTTCAGCGAGCCATAATTTATTTAAAATTTGCATTAGCGTAACCATTTATTATATGTTATTCGGTCTTGCAAATATTACATGCATGGTTATGCTAACACCGTGTGTTTGCAAAGAGAGAGTCGAACCAGTGAGTTGAACTACGTTACTTTGTGGTTTCTAATCTTTTGGGTGGAAAAATGACAACGTGGGTTTAATTGCAAGTTTTTCCGTAAAACTAATAATTTACTCTTTCATAACACATCATAAATATCTCTTGAAACATTTATCTTTCACAAAAAAAAGTAAAGGAAACGGATAACTTAGATCCAACATCAAGGCATCTAGCTACTACCTAAACGCTAAATGAAACTATGTATTCGTAAACATAATTATTGGCTTTTATTGGCTATCAATAATCAAATAATATGTTTTAAAAGGATTTTTTCAACATTATTCTATTTAAGTTCATTTGTGTACGTGTAACGTATACATGTAACTGACACGTTGATCATGATGGTTTTCACATTTCACTTTTAGCATCATAGCCAGTTTTCACTTTCTATACATATTGATCAAATTTCTATGATAACAAAGTTTGTTGGCTACATATAACGATACCTTTTCAAATTAATTTATTAGGCTATAAATTATTGTTTGTATTTAGCGTTGCAAAACATGGAAATGTTTGGGCAAATGTTGGCTAACAAAATTCTTTTGCTTACCCGGTTTTGATGTGGAAGGCGAAACACCAATGATGACTTCACTGTTATCATCATCTAATAGATAAATCAAACTAATTTCTTGCAATGCAATTAAATAACATTACAGTATGATGAAAAATTTCTAAAACTCTCTTATCTGACCCTTTACAAACGTATGAATGATACGATTGATATAAACGGCTCTTATGTTTGTGTTAGACTTTTAAAGGGAAGGTAAGATGCTTGTGCAAATGTTTGCTAACAAAATACAATTTCTTACCAAGTACTGCTGTAGAAGGAGTTTTGTCAATGTCGTCATAGTCTTTGTCACTCATGGGAAATGGTAAAGATATCTTTTCGTAAGAAGCTGGAAATTAATGCATTACATTACACGGTTAATATATCATAGCAAGATAAAAGGAATACTCGCTGAGTTATTTCACACTTCATTACATCTCACATTTTTGACCGTTAACAAAAGTATGTGAATAAGGAAGATATAAACGAATCTCAATGCTTACATTGCATTCTTGTTTGTACTTCACATTTCAAAAGACAATAAAGATTACGTTTGTGTAAATAATTGCATATAAAATTTCATTACTTACTAGGTCCTGATGTAGACGTTATACCAATATCAGCATCACTGTCATTATCATTTAGTAGATATAGCGAAGATTTCTTTTCTTCAGAAGCTGAAGCAATGTAAATATGAAACATTTAAGAATGATAATATTTTTAAAAAGTATTGCAACAAATGTAAGCTTTTATTTGTTAAACACCATACAAAAAAATGTTCCCTTCTAGCTATTTAACGTTTTAACAGATTTTTGGGAACTGTAAATGGTTGTTTGTTTACGACAAAGTGTCATATATTTTGTAAACAAATTTGATCATACTGACTTCGTCGTGACTGCTGTGTAAGATGGTCTTACTAGGAAAAATCTGAGGGTATTTGTACCAAATCGAAAAAGGATCTTCAAAAATTATGTTAACTATAGGTGTTTCGTTATTCCTGCGAATGGTACGCAGTACTTTTACTTTTTACTATAGTCTGTTTTCCCTTTAATACTTTCTACATTTAATGCACAATATTTATAGTTCTACTCAAGCCTAAAATCAAAGTAATTTAGTCACCAATAATAACAAATGATAATCGGATTGGTAATGCAAATTTTAGATGATATTCCTCGTACTCTTTTGAAAGCTTGTCCCAAAGATTTCTTAACAATTCTTTTTTGAAAAATCTGCTAATTCTCATGTAGATAACATGTGTAAAACTACATTTTCAATTCACATTTTTTGTGACTTTTTCATCAATGAAAAAAACAAAATGTATCAGACAAAGTAAAAAATGATGATCCCATAATTTAAACTCTTATGTTTCTTCAACTTTAATTAGCAACATGTAGTTAATGGAATTTACACAAATACATTAATATACAACACACAAATGACACACAAAAGTACATAAGTAAAACAAAATACAGTTGACTACTCTACTGACATTGACCTTTGTTTGTAGTAAATAATGAAACCGAGACTTTGTCGT